ATACTCGCTGCTAGACCTCTGTACTTGATTAACCTTTTCCATTCTTATGTTCAATAGTCATCAATATAGCAGACCTACGATACATGTCCGTCTTCTTCACATTAGACTTAAAGCGCTATCCTATATCCACCCAATTTGACTGTTACACCAATTGCGACAATTCTTAGACTTCTCATAACCTCGTTATTACAATAGTTAACCCTTACGGCGTATAACCTCTTCCGTGCATACCCACCACAGGGAAAAGCGTGAAAACCCTATGGTTATCCGAGTGTACTTTCATCATCCCAAAAGTACAATGTCACCGCGAGGGAGAGTGGTGTATGGGGACCATTGAATTCGAACCAGCTTTCTCCTATCTCAAGTGGGGTAGGTGTTCAACCTACCCAGTATCTACTTGGGAGAACGGCCCAAATGGTGTACCACTGCACCATCCAACCCTTTATTTAGTACTATCTATCAATTATGAGCATCAGAATAATCATGAGGTAAGAGTATGACAACTTTCTATAGCAGTGATAATGATTGTGGTCAACATGTATCTTGATCCTTGACTCATCTAACAAAAGGAAGCAAGTTTATACAGCAAGTCATCCCTCTCTCTTAGCGCCATTTCTATATAGGTGACTCATTACTTTTCAACATAATTAGTCATCATTTCTAAGATAATACGGAAGAGGTGATGAAGTCATTACCTCATTAGACGATGAGATTCATCGAGAGGGCAACATTCATATACACTATAATCTTCGAGCGCAGGATGAAAAGATCCTGGCTTTCATTTGCTTTTTTGGGTCTGTGTAAGCGCCAACACGTCGGATAGTTTTATTTAGTCTGGGCTAACCGGTACATGAGAAGCTGACCTGCTGCGGACCGGCACGACGTTAAATTTAATCAAAATACCAAACGAGGGTAAATACATAGATATATAAAGACATTTTAACTTCTAATTTTAGAGACAAGTCTTCACCCAAATAGTATCGGAAATGCAATCTAGCCTCTCTTTAAGCAATCTAATAAATATTTCCCGTGTCCGTGATAAGAGACACACATACCAAATCGACAATAGAACAAGGTCTAATACATCATTATATCAAAATATGGCCGACATCTCAATTTCTACAGCCTCTCCAACTTCAAATAACCACAATTTTATGGATTCTAGACCAAAAGGGCTCGACGGATTTCTTTGGAGGCATATTTTTAAAATTGTCAAACAAGACGAAGATTCTCCTGCCACAAGAATATTTGGCACAGTGAGCTTAGCAAGACTGACGAGGTCAAACCTGGTGAATCAAATTATCTACGAGAGAAGAACCCCTATGGAGTTTTCATATATTTAATTTACAAAGGGGCCACGTGACTGACAAATGATGTCACGTATGTTGGGATATTGAGAAAGTATAGTCACGAGAGTAAGATAATGCAGATGGTAATATGCGATATGTGGAGAATGTATGGACGTGGTGCTAAGTGTGTGGACACCTTTCACTTGACAAACTAGCTGACTAAGCAGCATTTCCTGACAACGTAGTAGTCCTACATAGTTTATTCCTTGACAATATTTGGTAGTCGCTTTGTAGATACTGTATAAGTTTGAAGGCATTAAAAAAGCGTTCGGAAAGTCTCGATTGGCTGTCCAAGCCTTCAAAGATTCAGGAAAGAAAGATATCCAACGAGTCATCCAACAACTAATATTGTGCCTCACACTCAGTCAACCCGATTCTCGTGTTCATCTCCGGGACATTTCGCAAGCATACGTTCAATCGAAGGCTAGCCTTGCATGAAATATCTTTATAAAGGCCCTAGTAGAAATGGATCTTGTCCTTTCGTTTTAATTCATAGTGTAATTCAGCTATCAAGCTATGAGACATTTAGAATTTATATTTCTAACATTCTCCACTTCAATCCAAGTAAAATATTTCCCAATTATATGTCCTAGTTTGACTCCCTTTATGTGCTACCATGCACTTGTATGTATCTGAATATTTAAGTAATGTCTCCTTCCCCCTTTTTGTACAAAACACGGTCGGGAGTTTTATTAGCTCTGTGCCCTGGGGGCCTTGATCTCGGGTAAATCTTCGGATCATTCAGCCTCTATGTGGAATCCCCGAAGCAGGTACTCACGAGTACCAGACCCATCATCGCCATCACATAGAGAACCTTCGATCTGCTCCTTCGACATTCGCTCCATACCAATTCTTCGACCCACACGGAAACGGTATTGTCGGGATCCGAATAGACGATTCCCTCATTGCAGGGAATAGTCAGATCTTGAAAAATGAAGATGACCAACTAAAGCAGGCAAAACTTTTCGTCAAGCCATACTAAAAACTTGGACTCGACGCACTCCTCAATTGCAATGAATCTTTTGAAATATTGCAAAAACAGACAACTTCAATACAACTATTTGGAAAAGACTTTGCCAAGGCCCAGTACATCGCTCAAATAGCACCGGGTGCATATATCGCAACAGTCTCGCAACCTTCTGCCACATTTGCACTATCATACGCTGCTCAAATCACAAGCCCAAAACCTGACGACGTAAAATTGTTAAACAAATGCCCGAAAATATGAAAAACCTTCAAGAGCCTCAAATTCGTTAAATTTGATCTAGAGATATTAGACATTACTGCTTTTATTGATTTTTCATCTACCAAAAATAAACTTTTTTCTTCCTAAATTGCGGATGTTGTAGTTTTCGTAGATGGCAAAAACAAGACCAATCTTATCCATCGTTCGTCAGCTAAGCGTAAAAGAGTAAAAAGAAGCCCACTTGCGTCTGTATTTTACGCTCTTTCACCAGGATTTGATGTTGCAGCATCTATGAAGTCAGCATTGGATCAAATTGTCACCAAATTATGCCAGGAAAGAGAAATGCCATTGACAACATGTATCGACTCAAAATCTCTCTATGAGTGCCTCTTTAAGTTAGGCAATACATAAGAAAAACGACTCATGGTAGATGTAATCTGTCTTCGCTAATCGTATGAGAGACGAGAAATCGCCGAATTTTTGTGGATACCTCGCGAACAGAACCCTGCGCATGCGATGCCATACAAATAATCTTGTGGAAAAAAAGCTGCAGTTAAATCTTGGTGGATGGGTAGAGAGTCATGAGATGAAAAATGGCAGTTGAAGGGTATTGGACATAAGTCACATTTCACATTTCCTCTGTTGCCAGTGTCGGTAAGTATTATAGCCATGTGGCCTAAAGCGTCTGGTGCAATTCACGCCTCTTTTTTTTAATTATTTGTAGTGGATCCAGCCTATACTAGCTATACCACACTTAGCCGCCCATGTGCGAGTAAAATGAAAAATATAACAGGTCTCCATGACAGAAGTGTTCTCCGGATCCCTTACAATTCAGGAATCAGGCAGCCTGCTGTTTTTTTTTTGAAATCATTTAATGTGTATTGAGCTATCTAGCTATGACACATGACCGGTGCTATGTATACATGTTGGATGACTCTTTTGACGTTTGAGACACTCATTCTCTGTATTTCATTCGCAAATACCACTATGAGGTATGTTCGCTTACACAAACAGTCGACCTTCCTCCGTGAGTAGCCACGAAAGGGAAATTCAAACCTTTGGTTATCCAAGCATGCCTTCGTCATCCATGTGCACCAGCGCCGCGAGAAAAGGGTTGTGTTTTCCGGGATTTGTCCTAGCTATCCAGACTCTACTCGGAAGACCGGCCAAGACGATATACCACAGCACCATCTAACCGCGGTGGTGTTTGTAGTGTCGCCTGTAGTCTGCTGACATATTCACTGTGGGTGGAATACAGGGATTCTTATAGTCCTAGGGAGATAGAGAAGAGAGCTGTGAATCATCAAGAGCAAATGAGCCCCCATAGACAGCCTAGGTCTTACCAAAAGTCATAGACTCAGCTTGGCAATAAGCACAAAACTTCACTCTATGAAGTTGGCCATGATCAGATCACATGGTAGGATCGAATCTCAGCTCTTTAAAATTGTTGCTTCCAATTGTAGTTAAGACGGCAATATGTAGGATACATAAACATAGTCTCCCATGAGTACCGAGACTTGTTAGAAGTCAGAATAGGTAGGGCTATGAAGTAGGCCACGTTTTTGACACACAAGTGACTACAGATCATGTACTTAGTTTCACTTCGGTGGTTACTTGAATGGATGCGCTCTATAACCTCATGGCCGGGGATTCGTTATCTCCTTAATGTTTATGAAGAAAAGACTGAAGCAACTGTTTTGATGAATACGGTTCTGATGGCCATAAAAAAGTGCTTCGACGCCAAACTTTCTTATGATGATAAGGAGCCTGACGACGCAACAATTTTCGACTCTCCACGCACTTCCAGGCTTCTTTTGTTCCTAAAATCCCTGGGAATCGTCACCTAACTTGAGACAAGGCCACTTTTCCTGAGACTTCTATGCGTTTATTCAAGTGACGCATATCATTTAACGGTAATAAGCCGCCAGTGTTACTTCTTTCATTTCATTATCATCGTTAAACTGCTAAAAATAAGGGGCCTAGAGCTCAGTCAGGCTCTCGCCAATAGCAGTAATCAAAGTCTTTACTGTTTTATTTTCCCCGAAGTTTGTGCTTAGTTATAACATGTCCATACTACTAGTGTTGGTATGACAAATATCTTACACTAAGAGTCTATTAGCTCACTTAAATTTATGAGAGTGCTCGTGTAAGTAGTTCGAACTATCGTTCAAAAGAATTACACAAACCAAGAGAATAAGTCAATGCAATGCAAAGACCACCGACTCCAAATAACTCCAGCCAGATAAGTCATTACAACAACTAGACTTGTTGCATAATACTCCTGGGCGACCAGTGTCAGGCAACCAAACAATGCGTATATGCTAGATTAGAATTTTTACGGTATTTTTGAATCATTCGCACCAGTCATCTTAGGAATATAGTGAGTAGATGACTCAACTTTTGAGAAGCTAGTTTTACATCATTTCTCGTTATATCCAAATACTTAAAAAAAGTAGCAGGCACTACTACAACATGACGTACTGAACACCGGGCGGAATGGCATCGACATGACTATATGAGCGACAGCGGGTAAATACTTTGGGCTGAGTCCTATGTACAACGCCCATGAATCTGCACTGATGATCGAGAATGACCCAATCATTTCGCGATGGTGAAAGGACTAAACCATGTCGACGCAGCCAGCATCAGTGAGTGGTCGTAGTATCAACACAAATAAAGAAACGATATTACCTACAACTAGGTCGAATACTAGTCCGCATCATCTTTGATCGCATGGGAAACCGAAAGAGAGGCCGCATCGTCATGCGTGCAAACAATTTCTTATCTGTGAATTTCTGTAATGGAGGCTCGCTGAAGAAGCCCAAAAAAAATCTCGGCCTCGACACCTGGAGTCTAAGATGCGTGCAAGCTTCGCGGGTTGTCTCGCGGATTTCATGTTGTAAGTATTTATTAGTGGTCCCACAAAAGACACCTTCGTACTTGAACGGACTCAAGACAGCATCTTCAGCGCTCACCACGGCATCCTCTTTAAACTTGCCAGGTGACGTGGATGTAGGTGTTGCTCGTGCGACAACACAAGTGAAAAATATTGCGGATATTATAGCTCCGAATAAATATCGCATCTTGGAGGCTAAGCCAGCAGTGGGTCGAGAATAGAAGTTTTGAGCAGCGTGAATTGTATCATCCCCTAACTTGGGAAATTAAAAAGTAGAGAAATTTTCGTTGCGCCGACTACATACATCTGAGGAGTTGAAAGAATCTTTTATCATGATTTAGCTGTCAATTTTGATCCTTGATTGCTTCGTTTGATACTTGGCGATCCTTGAAGTGTTTCCCTGACAAGGTTTCCTGACTCGTAACACTCCATGACGGTCAGGGTGATGGTGCTCCTAAGTTAAACCTTATATGGATTATTTGACGGACTTTGTTCAATGAGAGCTATACGTCATGGTCGACGGTGCATTTACTGAAACAAGCATCGCCTTCCTGTTCTTGTAAAGTTTAACACTCGATACTTGAGCGGAAAAATACAAATTGTGCCTGCGCCCGTGGTAGCTGAGGTATTGAGGTATGAAGTAAGAGGCATTTGCTGTAGGGGTAGCGATTCGAATAATTCTTGAAGTATAAGTGTGGTTAATTTATGATGATCGCCTGGCCTTCATGCAACCTTTTCAGCACTGATCGAGGTCTGCAAGATGCTATCATTGCTGTAGACCCGCTATTCTCAGCAACGCTCAGGCTAATTTTGAGTTTTGGGTATCTAATCTTACACACACAGTCTAAGATTATATGAAATATGTAGGTTAACCTTGATGAGGGTCAGACAGGCCTTTGTATGTTTGGATTAATAGGGCAGTTGAGAGCTCAATCTTTGGTCGGCACAAAACGTATCAATCAATGCTGATGTTACGCGATAAGGGAAAACAAAAAAATCAGGCACTAGCTGTAGATACCGTTGACCGAGGATGAAAATCAGGCTCTCTGATCAACGCCCGTCACGGATCTAGGGCTGAGACATTAATCTTGATCCACGACTGGGCCTTTCCCCAGAAATGGAGGCGGGACACCTCACAGACATTCGAATTTGATTCTTATTATTACGCAAGGTTTGTGCTGGGATCAAGTGGCCATAACTACTAGCTCCATATTCTCCTTGGGGACAAAGCACGATCAAACCTGGGTCCTAGGCCTGACAGCTGCACAAGGTAAGTTGTTTGGGAATTTAAACACGTCCGTCTTAAAACCCGAATCAACTTGCTGCGAGACATCATCATGGCACTGGAGAACATAAGTGTAAGTCTAAACAGTTTTGCAACGGCACAAATTCGCTCAGATCAGCATCCTGGTCTGGCACCTCACTAATGCGAATACCCTATCGTTGGGAAAGCGTGAGAAACAGTACTCCAGATTGGCAAAGTAATCCTTTGTGTCTTCGTTGGTCTATGAGGCACAAGGGTCTATCAACTCTACACCAGCAGTCAACTTTATGTCTAGTAGAGCAGTTTTCTTCATGGTCTAGCTTTGTGGATATGCCAACCTGGACGACACACCACTAAGCCATCAGTAGCCGCGAAAGGCTGCGCCACTAATAACAATTGCTTGGATATGCAAGCTCTCTGGCACAGGATAAGTGGAGCCGGCGCCAAAATTGCAGCAGAGTAAAATAGAAAATCAATTCACCTCCAAGTAGATCCCGACACATTCAATGCAGAAAATCCAGGCACTCTCAAGAGGCAGGCAGGTGCATATGAACTAGAAACAACGCCCGTCCAAATCCGCCAAAGTCATTGCAAGGCCAGGCCAACGTCACTACACTAATAAGAGGCGGGTACATGAGGCTTAGTGCTCACTTGGAACAGAGAATTTTCCGAGTGAAGAAAAACTACGGTACCAATGTGGATGTCCGTCCCATAACATATAGCTTATGATAATATCTTGCCCCGATGGGCCAAGAGACGGGGTGAAGTGCTACGAAAATCCATAGCCCGATCTTCCAAAACTTCGTTAAATAACACCGAAAACTATAGCTAGGTTATACATTTGATGCAAAAGGCATGGCGCCTAATGCAATTTTGGCTGGCGGGAGAAACCGAGAGTATGTTTTGGTAAAGGGGAGAAGACAGAAATATAGACAAGCGACTGAATCAACACCAGTTACGACCGTGTGAGTGCACTTCTTGAAAAACAGCCGACAGTGTTGCAGAATTAGATCAGACGGCTAGGAAAGCTTTTACCGCAGGACTTCCTCCCATACAGCCTAAAAAGTGCCAGAATCGGATGAAGATAGAAGGACAGAGACAGGGATAAAGACAAGATACTCTGATTAGAAGTTGCTATCCCTCAGTGCGCTCGGGACAGATACATAAACACTCGGCCAAAAGGCCAAATTAGAATCACATAAAAGCTTTGTTTCAGTGCATCTCCAAATACGGATAAGATAAAAGGAAACCCTGACAGAGCCCAATAAACACCTGCATAGGCCCATATAACATTAGATCAAGCTAATTAAATTCTAATTCAAACTCAAAATTAAAGACTGTTTATGTGTGGTGGTGTAATTAGTGTTATACACTTGGTATCTTCAATTAAATGGTTAATAATACTAAGGAGAGTTAGGATACACTTGGGTGATATGGCAACGGTATGTAAGGGATGCTAATGTTATCTTTTAGGTTATCTTACTATGTTGTCTGTATGTTTTAGATTTATTTACATGATAATTAACCAATCCCACACACTTCTAGATAGTGCCGTAGATAGTCTCTATTAGGAGTGTCCTACGGGTGAATGTAGCGATCGGTGGTATCTAACTTATCACTAATCTGTTTCCTTCTTGGTACTGCCTGCTACGTTTCCTTTATTGCAGCCAACTATTAATGTAATCAGTTTATTTACAACAATACAACAATACAACTTAGAAGACAGTGGATTTCTCTTGGTTGGGCCCAGGCTCAAGGCTTTCCGGTCCTCTATAGTCGTAGACTCAGATAGGGCTAAAATAAAATCTAATCTAATCAGGGCTTCCCGTGCAAAATCTGTACCGGATGACAAGATTTATGAATCACCTCTGAGAGCAATAGATGAGTCAACAGACTCCCTCCAAAATCGCCGGAACCCATCGGAAAAGATTTGAGGCCATTTCAGACACATTGAAAAGACAGAAGCCCGCAAGAAGGGCTGATTCCTTATTAAAAAGTGGGGATAGTTAGAATGTCATGCAGGCTGGTTAGGACTAACTTTGTCACGAATGTTGTCATTACTGACCATTTCGGCATTGGTCGCAATTGAGCCGCCCGGCATATTGACTCTCACTTTCCACAGATTGCACGATCATGATGAGTTATTGATAGTAGAGATGAAGATGCACTGTCTTCGGACTTCATATTCGACTTAAGTAATTGTCGGGATACTTAAACACTGTGCAAAGAACGTAAACTGTATGTCACGTTTCTGCGGTTGTGTTGGCGGATCTTGTCTATTCTCCTATTCTACAAAAAGATACTAGTACTCATAATGAACGATGACTAATCTATGACTAACATTGGAATGTGAGGTCAGGACATTTATACCAACAGTAATATCCTGACGTCATTTAATAGATCGCATATGACATCCTCGAGTTGGGGAGAGTATAGTATCACAGGAAATATGACATCATGGAAATCATGATATCATGGAAAGTATGATGGGTAGTTGGATGGAATTAGGTACATAAGAAAGCTTAGCATTAGGATATTTATACCCCACGCAACGTCTTCTGAAAATAAATAAACTTTTACTTCTAAACCTCATCTCTTCATTGGAAGACCATTGCACCGCATTACTTCCTGTGGCTCTCCTACTTCTCACAGTGAAGCTTCGCCTCAGATATTGTCGTTTGATCTCTAATTCACTGACTATCCCATTTCGTACCCTGTAGAAATATCGCCATATCAAACTCCTTGAGACACTAGCACGTTAGTAATCCGGATAGCGACCAGGTTGAAGGAGTTCTCGATCTTCACGAAGGTATATGCTCAACTCGCAGATGTGTGAAGGAAGCCTTGTAGCGTTCTGTCACTTTTTCATATAATAGCAGAACTTCCCTTCACTTTATGAATCGAGATGATGTTAGTAGATGCTCATTTGTGCAGCTCAATCACTGCTTGCCGGATGCTGATAAGAAAAAGCTGGCTTCATGTTTTCTTTTGTCTAATATCAGCTTGAGGGGGCTGCAGCTTGTACTACTACCTTTTAGCGCATTCTGATACGAGCTGCCGAGGCCCAGCGCTCTCTATAGTTTGTCATGAGGCAGAGGGATGTAAGCTCCCGTGCTCAGGAATCTTGAAGAGGAGTCACTGGACGACGGTGACGAGCTGATGCTGCCAAACCTAGGCCAGTCTCCACAACTTAGAAATTTGCCGCTCGCAAGTAGACTTTCATCACGTTAAAAAAGTTTTCATATCCACTACCCGAGAACAGTACGAGAGCTGCTTTGACACTTCTGATAGCTGTCTAGCGAGCCGAAATTTGTGCAGTTAACTACATTTTTCGGTAATCTCCCGCCCCCAGTACCGCAGAATGTTCAAGAATTTACTCCTGAGCCGGGTTGAATGATTTGTATCCGGTTGTGATTATTGTGAATGCATCAGTTTCTGCTTTTTATTATGGTCTCGAAGCAGTGGCTGGCTTTTAGCGTAAGTTGCAAAAACATCTACAATGTCTGAGGGATGGAATGTCAGTTTTATGGCGGTAAGCTGCCCTCTACTTGTGATCGAGGCCTCCGTTGTCTCAATTTCATCGTTGAGTCAAGCTGAACCTATTACTTTCTGTTGTGTCATGCACGAGCTGTTTGCCATACTTAGAGCATGTTAGTTAAGCTAATGCAATTTAACAATTATACTTATCCTTCATCATTTTAAGACTATTTAGGTCATATAAGCCCCGTCGACCTTTTGGCCAAGAATACCTATATGAATGAGATACTCCCTCCTATGCCTCTCGTATAGCTCTCGTCGAACAGCGACACACCTCACAAGTACTCAATCAAACATATACTTAGAGGAGCTCTTTGCGGGCGTTACCTCCACTCTTCAGCCAACGAAATGATGGCCGTTTGCAGTTGTATGGCAGCCAGGGTAAA